GGAAGGCCAAATAAAGTGCTTTTGCTTTCGCACTGAAACACAGCGTCTCCCTGACATGGCTGCATCAACACTACTGCTGTTCCTGAAACCACGCCGCCTTTCTTTGCGTGCACATTTGGGCGGCATTATGCTAATATTTCCACATAGTGACGTAGATTTGTGGGGGCGTATTAGAACGAGCCGTTTTAGGTAGGCGTGGTTGACTCTTAACTTTTATAAAGAATATCTCTTTGGATTTGAGACTTTAGTCTTTGCAACTTTACAGATCTTCTTTATGCACCAAGAGCTTGTAACACTCCAAAGAGAAAGGAAAACTTGAAATCGCATCATATGACCCCTTTAAGTTTGGGCCTCAAACTAAAGTGTGTGTTGTGTATTTAGGTGAGCTCATGGGTGACCTGGCTTATCCTGACTGCTGGGTCCATGGAGGAGAAGAGAGAAGTCTTCTCATACCTTGTCCATGTGGCAAAGTGCTCCTGGAACATGGGCAACTACAATGCGGTCATGGAATTCTTGGCAGGTCTCAGGTATGGCATGATGCCTTGAATGGCTTGGTTAGAAAATAAATAATCCTTTGAGAATAAATGGCCCTCTCTGTTTGTATTGTGTGTTGCTTAACAAAGTGAGGGACATTCTTGACTCACTGATTTGTTTTTGACAGCACATTTGTTACATGAGATAGGATGAGTCTCAATACTAATCTGCAACCCAAGTTACTTTCTCTATGGACTAGTTGCCTACTATTTTAGTGATCTATCAAAGGTTTTATGCTCGCCATGAAGATTAAAATTAATACTAGTCCTCCAAGGCCATTTCACTACAGTCAGAAGATGTAGCAGCCTCTTTGAGTTTGCAGTGGAGTCAGTTTGATTTTTATTCCACTTGTGTTGTTAAGAGAGCGAAAAATACAGTTTGCTGGTTATTATACAAAAATATTTGATGACTTAAGACAAAATCTAACTCTGGTTGCACATAATCAGACTTAATCAGATCGATTCATCAGACTTCATCCCTAAATTATGTTTTAAATTACATTTAAAAACAAAAATTATAAGAAGCCTTGAGCAATATACATATAGACGGCCTGTCTTATTCCTGCCCAGGTCTCGCAAAGTGCTGAAAATGTGGCAGTTCATGGACCAGGTGGATATTGAGACCATGCGTGGTCTGAAGGACGCCATGGCCCAGCATGAATCATCCTCTGAGTACAAGAAAGTGGTCAACCGTGCCCTTAACATCCCTGGATGCAAAGTGGTGCCCTTCTGTGGCGTGTTCCTTAAGGAACTTAGCGAGGCTTTGGATGGTGCAGCCAGCATTATTGGACTGCGTCCATCATTTGATTCTCAAGAAGATCCTGTTGAGGTGAGGATTAGGTGCTTCCAAAGAGTCATGATGACTAACACAGGAAATTGTATCACTATGGTCTAATTTAATTGCCTTTTACAGTTACAATAATAATCTTGAGACCATTTTGGCTGGCTGGAGCAATTACCTTTTCATCAAACTTCTAATATGCCTGCTGAATTGCTTCCTGGCTTTACAAAAAACACATTAGAGTGATTCAACCAGGAAAAAGTCATTTTGTCACTCTGGTGATTATTAAATCACCCATGAACGCTTTTACAGCCCACAGATCTACTCGTATTGTCTATAATTGTGGTTATTTTCTTTTGTGTGGAATCTCTGTGGTGAAGTGCTCTTTACCTTACACAGTTTGTCACCGACTACAACGGCCAGCAGCACTTCCTGCAGAGGGTTGGGAGCGATGGGCTCCACAGCTCAGACAAGGAGGCGACCGTCAGTAGCATTCTGCAGACGATTCGCAGCTGCAACCGAAGCCTGGAGCCTGAGGAGAAGGCACAAGAGATCACAGTTTGCCCCAAAAATTCCTTCAAAGACAAGAGCAGAAACCAGTGAGTTAATTTTGGACACTGTTTGCAAATATATGATGTGTTTAGTCTAATTCATATATGTTGAGGCATTCTCAGTTTGTTTTAATACCACTAATTGGCTCTCTGCATAGAGCTTTGGGTTATTTCTTTACACTTACCTGTGTTAACTAAGGAGATCTATGATACCTAGCATTCCCATGAATCTCAATGGGAGTTGCTGGACTGGTGGAGGAACCCCTAGATGTATGTGATTTGACATCTGCCATTGTTGCTCATGGACACATTTAAAGGTTTATTTGAGTCAACTACCTGAATTGTAAAATGAAACCTTAAGAAAATTACATCATAGCAACTCTATTTGACTGTTTGACAAGAACACACAAAATCCTAAGCCCAAAAGCATCAGACAGAAAAATAACTACTTTTCAAGGTTTTTAAAACCCCCACTTTAGCTTAACTAAATCTTATATGACAAAAGTTTTACTTTTTGTGGTACTTTTATGATTCTTGATACAGTATGTTTTATTTATTTTATTTTTTTTTATGAAGGTAATGGCCAGGGCTGACTTTACACCACAAATGTATCAAATTTGAGCATACTGTGTTTGGGTACAGATTCACCCCACTTTCATTTCTCAAACCACTACCTTCTGTCTTTCTCTTCCATTCAATTCAACCCTCCACCCTTACTGTCCACTCTCAAGGAAAGGACCTGGGTCAGAGCATGTCCTGTAAGTTGCCAGATTGTGCTTTAATGGTTACACTAACTGCATTGGTTTCTAAGTGACATGCAGTGTTTCATTTGTATAGGTTTCGTGTGATTGCACTTAGAAATGCATGGATTTCCTTCCTCTCAATCCACAGTGCAGAGTTGAAGCCAAGACCAGACTCTGCAAAGCCCAGACGAGTCCCCAATTCTTTATGACACTGACCAGTATCAAAACCCTAATACCAAACCAAGACAAGTCCCCTCAATAATCAGCAAAAGATCCACACCCAAACCAACACAAAATTCCCTAAAACCCAGACCAGTACCAGAATTCTGAGGACCAGACCAATATCACACCCCTATTACACAGATCAATACTCAGATCAAGTCCAGATCAAGACCTTATCCCAGAACCCATGCAAAAACTCTTGCTCCATGCACCAGACTGTCCATTTTAATTAAATGGAGATTATGCAGAATTTATTCCACCATTCATTTCAGACACTAAGGCTTAAGTAGTCATTAAGAGCCATGGGATCCTCTATAATGGTGCAGATACAGTGCAAACCTGTGGTTGAGGTAATTATCACCCTCATTACTCTCTGGAAACAGACTGCAGTCTTGTCTGAGACCACAAACCTAGACCCATATCCAGACCAAGACACAGAGTAAATGAGATGCACAACCACATTTAAGCTCAAGGTGCCAACTCTGCCACAGTGCACAATTTAAAGTAATTTAATGCATAGCATTGTATTATGTTCCATAACGGCGCCTAAATTTGTGTCTTATAGGTAGACAGTTCTCTTCAATACTCTAAGCTCATGTCAACTTCTTTCGCAAGACTAATATGGCATTACCTTTTCCAAGACACTGAGAAGTTTTGCAGGCAGAGTTCTGTTTATTCAGTCATTTGATTCTTGATTTTTGCTTCACCCGCTTCTTGTCTTTTTTTGTAGGTTTTTAGTAGGGGACCTCTCAGACTCTGAAGTGGACCCACTTGAGCTGGCTAAGTATGTAGACCTCCAGACCACAGAAGAGGTGCATGGACCATTTAGCCACGGAACAGAGCTCATCCCCTGGTACGTGCTCTCTCTTCAACCAGATATCCACCAGTTCCTGCTCCAGGGAGCAACCGTTATCCACTACGACCCCGAGACCCACCTCACCGCCCGCTGCCTCCTCCGTCTACAGCCCGATAACTGCTTCCTTACCTGGTCCAAGCCCCACAGCAGCTGTGGCCCAGGTATAGGAGCCAGAGGCTTCATGGGACATCCACCATCCCCAGACCACTTACCCCTGGGCCAACCTGTGCACTGCGGACTGGCCGATGGACTCCTAGACCTTAACGTGGTAAAGGCTGTGTTTATGGGTCACCCTGGAGTGGATGTTAACTATGTGTGCCTGCAGCACAAACTGTGTAACATGAACCCTGGCGAAAATGGTGTCACACTGCTATATGGACTTAACACCACAGACAACAGGCTCCTGCACTTTGTGGCCCCCAAGCACACGGCACAAATGCTGCACGAGGGCCTCCGGGAGCTGCTCAGTGCCATCAGGAAGATCAGGAAGTTTCCTGACCAGAGACTACAATGGCTGCGAAAGCAGTATGTTAGTTTGTACCAGGTACATTTACATTTACTTAAGTGCATTTATTCAATATATTTGAGAACACAGTACGAGTAGACCTGCAATACCAAGTTTCTGTTTAGGTATGGAAGATGTTTTGTTTCTATTGTGAGGATTTTGTTAATGTTTTTAAAATAGCGAATTGCATATTTCATATTAAGCTCATTTATCCCGAATACATGGTAAAGATTGCAACAATTACTATTACAACCACCATGCTATAAAACAAGTTTTGCAGGTCTTGCCACTGGTCATGCTGGTCTGGTTTGATAGTTTTAGAAGGGTTTTGTGCACTTGTTAGCTGGTAGGTCAACTGGCTGATCAGCTAAACCAGCTGACCACTAGTTGGCCAGGCTGGTAGACCTGGCAAACCGGCTTAGTCTGCATTTAAATAAAGATTTTTGCACGCATGTTGTGTTCTCAATGTTGAATTATAGAAGTTCACATTGAAGAACTTTGGTGGTATTGAAGTTCTCATGCAACTAAACACATTCCAGTTTTGACTTTTGAATGCCCTGCACTGTTTCCCTTTAGCATAACTCTGCTAACTTAAGGTCAGCTAAAGCACAGCTTTCTTTTTATTAATTCCATTCATTGTTATTGTCCATTTTTATTATCAGTGGGTTTTATATTGCTGTAAAACTCCCTGTTCTAGGAGGACGGTAGATTTGAGGGGCCCACACTGGCCCATGCTATCGAGCTGTTCGGTGGGAGACGCTGGAATATGGGTGCTAGCGGACCTGGATCCGCCAGCAAGAGTGTGGAGAAGAGCTCAGCCCAGAAAAACAGCCCGCTGGGCATAAACTCCAACGTCAAGAAGAAGAAGAAAGCCTTAGTCAGGGTAAGGAGTGAAAAACCGCCAACACAGGCTGTCCTGGCTTAGCTATATGATTTGACTAATGCACTATTCTGTTCACAGGGGGACAGTGGTGATGGAACAGATGATGAGATGATCTCACGCAAGACCAGGAGCTGTAAAGAGACTTTGGGGAGGAGAGAATCAGACCCTTTGGAAAGTGTTGAGCAGGAAAACGCTGGTGAGAGTTACTGAGCAATTTGTTGACAGCTAATCTGACTTTGGTTAGACATAATTGTTGAAGAATGTTGAGGATGGGATCCATTTCAGCTGCTTTACCAATACTTTTTTCATTTATACACTGAAGATACTAGTTTTGTGATGCTAAGAGATCAGGGACATTGTGGCATGTTTGAATGTTTCCATAGAGGACTGCAGTACCTTTGGCCACCCTGGACCCCTTTCCTTATCCAACAGCAAAGGCCAGTCTCCTGGATCCTCCTTATCCTCCTCCTCATCTTCCTCTGGCTCCTTTAACACAAACACCTCCATCCCTAAACGCCCCCATTCGTCCATTTTGTTAATGTTTTTAAAATAGCGAATTGCATATTTCATATTAAGCTCATTTATCCCGAATACATGGTAAAGATTGCAACAATTACTATTACAACCACCATGCTATAAAACAAGTTTTGCAGGTCTTGCCACTGGTCATGCTGGTCTGGTTTGATAGTTTTAGAAGGGTTTTGTGCACTTGTTAGCTGGTAGGTCAACTGGCTGATCAGCTAAACCAGCTGACCACTAGTTGGCCAGGCTGGTAGACCTGGCAAACCGGCTTAGTCTGCATTTAAATAAAGATTTTTGCACGCATGTTGTGTTCTCAATGTTGAATTATAGAAGTTCACATTGAAGAACTTTGGTGGTATTGAAGTTCTCATGCAACTAAACACATTCCAGTTTTGACTTTTGAATGCCCTGCACTGTTTCCCTTTAGCATAACTCTGCTAACTTAAGGTCAGCTAAAGCACAGCTTTCTTTTTATTAATTCCATTCATTGTTATTGTCCATTTTTATTATCAGTGGGTTTTATATTGCTGTAAAACTCCCTGTTCTAGGAGGACGGTAGATTTGAGGGGCCCACACTGGCCCATGCTATCGAGCTGTTCGGTGGGAGACGCTGGAATATGGGTGCTAGCGGACCTGGATCCGCCAGCAAGAGTGTGGAGAAGAGCTCAGCCCAGAAAAACAGCCCGCTGGGCATTAACTCCAACGTCAAGAAGAAGAAGAAAGCCTTAGTCAGGGTAAGGAGTGAAAAACCTTGAGCCAACAAAGGCTGTCCTGGCTTAGCTATATGATTTAAATAATGCACTATTCTGTTCTCAGGGAGACAGTGGTGATGGAACAGATGATGAGATGATCTCACGCAAGACCAGGAGCTGTAAAGAGACTTTGGGGAGGAGAGAATCAGACCCTTTGGAAAGTGTTGAGCAGGAAAACGCTGGTGAGAGTTACTGAGCAATTTGTTGACAGCTAATCTGACTTTGGTTAGACATAATTGTTGAAGAATGTTGAGGATGGGATCCATTTCAGCTGCTTTACCAATACTTTTTTCATTTATACACTGAAGATACTAGTTTTGTGATGCAAATGTCTTAAGTGATCAGGGTCATAGTGACATGTTTGAATGTTTCCATAGAGGACTGCAGTACCTTTGGCCACCCTGGATCCCTTTCCTTATCCAACAGCAAAGGCCAGTCTCCTGGATCCTCCTTATCATCCTCCTCCTCATCTTCCTCTGGCTCCTTTAGCACAAACACCTCCACCCCTACCCGCCCTCATTCCTCCCCCAATCTCCCCGGCAACCCCAAAAGTCAACCAGGGTAAGGCCACTCCCTCTTTAGAAATACAAATTTAGTGCATTCCCAGAAAGCACACAGGCTTCTATTCAGTGTGGAGATCCTCAGCATCATACAGGTGTGTGGAAGAATTCTCTGAAAGCTGATCTCAGCCAGAAAGTTTTATAGAATGTATTGATCAGACCTATAAATGTTACTTTGAATATGACAAAGGTCATTCTTATTATGAAGCAGACTGATATGCTTGTTTTAATTTACAAGACTCATCTTTGGATAATGAAACTGTTGTTTTCTGTAAAGCTGCTTTATAACTGAATCAAATTTGTTTCATGAATGAATAATTTATGACATCGACACTTATTGAATTGAACTGAATGAACACAGAACTGACTTGAGCAGAATAATACTATTATTTTTTTTTAGAGCTGCTTTGCAGCAGATTTTGAATGTCTCATTTAAAGTTTGCACCATTGATTCTGCTATATTGCTGTTTATTTTTAACTTCCTGAATGTCATATAAGGACCTGCATTTTGTTATTAAAAAAAAATATTACAGAAGACTACAGTAAAAACATATAAGATTATTTTTCTGTCATTTTGAACTATATATCCACTAATCTTGGCACCATCAATCAATAGATCTTGTCTGTCTAACATTCAAACTCAAGTTGTTTTAAACCTTGAAAAGACATTTTCAAGCCAACATTCAAACTTTGTCTTGACCGACATTCCTACTTATGTTATTTATGTGAAGTCTTATTGTCGGAAAAGAAAATTGCTTCAAAAGTGCTTGGCATGGTTTTAAAGCTCTCAACGGTGGGTCATCATTTACCATTAACAACATGCACAATTGATTCTTCCTTTATTAAGAATAAGTGTTGTTGACTGACAGTTCGATATTAACGTCTCACCAACTCATAACTCACTTTGAGACATCTAATGATATGCATGCCAATGTAATAATATTTAATTTGTTTTTTGTTTCTTTAGAAATTTGAGCCTTCTTCAAACATGCGTCAGATGGGGTGGATGTCCTTTGAAGGATTTGCCAGGTTTGGTTTTATTAAATGTTTCTGACAAAATAATGTGGATCAGCAATTTCGGAAACGCAATACTTTGGCAGATTTGGATAATCTGCTGTATTCATATGATCTCTGCTACATGACCGAAAGTTTCATCTGCCTCTCGAAGGTTTCTTATGGACAAGGACAACTTTGCCTCTAAAAGCGAGGAGTCTCAAGTGAATCTGGATGAGCTCCAGTTTCCACTCTCGTACTATTACATGGAGTCCTCTCATAACACATACCTCACGGGCCATCAGCTGAAGGGAGAGTCTTCAGTGGAGCTCTACAGCCAGGTACATCTTCAGCAGAGCTTCTCTGTTTATCCTGCACCTGATCCAGGGCAAAAAATGTTTCACAATGCACTCCATAAATATGCTTGACGATCGCTGCTTCACATGCCGTCCTGTAGAATTCACCTGCAGGTGAATGTAGCTGAAACCACAGCACGTGAATGATGCCTGGAGTTCACGTTTGATTTATTGGTTCTGCCGCAGGTGTTGCTGCAGGGCTGTCGTAGCGTTGAGTTGGACTGTTGGGACGGGGACGATGGCATGCCTGTTATATACCATGGACACACTCTTACTACTAAGATTCCCTTCAAGGTCTGTTTAGAAATCCGTACATGAAGTGACTTCTGTTGATTTTATGTATGTTTTCCATTGACTGAAATGTGCTTGTGGTCTTTAGGATGTTGTCGAAGCCATTAATCGCTCAGCGTTTGTGAACTCAGAGATGCCCGTGATTCTGTCCATCGAAAACCACTGCTCTTTACCACAGCAACGCAAGATGGCTGAGATTTTTAAGGTACCTGCCTGACTTTTTTTTGCTAAATCACAATTCATGAGATGTTCTCGACCTGCTTGTTTGGAAGTTTCTTGTGGAAAGTGAACATCGTTTATGTATTTTGCTCTTCAGACAGTGTTTGGTGAGAAGCTGGTGATCAAGTTCCTGTTTGAGAGGGATTTTGGGGATGAGCCTTTGCTTCCATCTCCCCTGCAGCTCCGAGGGAAGATCCTACTGAAAAATAAAAAGCTGAAAGCTCACCAGGCTCCAGTGGACATTCTCAAACAAAAGGTAGATGAGAGAAACAAATACCTGGATGTATGGGAACAATGCAGAACTGATTTCAAGACTATTGATTGGTTTATATACACAGTTTATCGAATTGTAGCAGCCACACAATCAGGCAAATTCGGCTAACTCATTTTTTCTTTTTTGCCTAAATGGCTTGGCTAGGTCCTGTTGTAATCTGGGGATTTTTTCATAACTTTTTTTCTTCCTACACTTAAGAAAAGGCCTGTGCCTGAGACACTGATATATCTGCTACACAAAACAAATACACTATACATAGTTTTAAATTTAGAGATCATAATATCGCTAAATCAACCAGCCCTAAAATTACAAAAAATAAAACAAAGCATTATAGACGTATACATTTGACTTGAGTCGACTGATCTGCACAGATTTGTGAGGAAAATCTGCAGAATGCATTTACACATTTTAAAATGTCCTTAACTGAGCTGGAAGTACTACACTCATATTAGAAAACACAATCAAATTAACCAGAATATTTAAGAAACAAACATGCAAGTGGGTAGGGAATGTGTGGAATTGTGTGAATGACAGACTTTCCAGTTCTGTGGAAATCTGCACAGCTTCAGTGTGGTCTTGACTTACTGTTCAACATTTTTAGTATCAACACATTTTATTGAGTCCATGAAACTTCCATTTAACAAATCAAGAATGAATAGTTGAAAAGTTTAGGAACTTTTTTATGAACTTTTCTTTATTCAAAAAAAGGCACATCAGCTGGCTCACATGCAGGCCCAGGCCAACAACGGCTCAGTCAGCGGAACATCCCTGGGAAACAATGATGAAGAAGAAGAGGAGGAAGACGAGTATGACTATGATTATGAGTCACTGTCTGACGGTAAACATGCTTTTCATTACTCAAGCCAGCGTGTCCTTTATTTCAACTCGAATCGACAGCGATTATTGGAACATTGAGTGGAATTTTCTGATCTGTTCTCTAACCCTCTCATGATCTTTTACTGTTCTCACGATGGCACCTTGTAGCATGTTGACCTTTTTCCACTCCCCCTCCTTTCTTTCATTCTCTTCCCTCTTGTTTTTTCTCCTTTTTCTCAGCTGATGTCCTCAATGCTTCCACAGCCTCTTATGGCCAGGAAGGTAAACGTATTGTGTGTGAGTGTATGTGGGTAGTTGACACATGCACATGGTTTAAACTTTTTTTTTTTTTTTTTTACTTTTGGTTTAAAAACTATGCATTTGCATTAGGCTTTTTTTCTCAAATTTGTAAGATAATTAAATACATGACCAGTCATTAGTGAAAATTGGGAGTTAGCCAAAATTTGTATTCTTTGCTGTCCAGACAAATTATTAGGCTAGTAGACGTAGATGTCATGTCAACTGCCCATGTTAAATGCGTGTCGTGATGATGTGTGTCTGCTATATGCTGCTGGTGTGTTGACTCTGATGTGATTGCTTGGACTCAAAGCAGAGAAAATCAAAGCAGAATAAAGGTGCTTATGTCTGAGAGCCATCAGGTGTGTGCTGTCTGCTTCTGCCACGAATAAATCAGTGTTTTTTGAGTACAGCGATGGGTGGTACGGTTGGCGTATAAGCAGAACCACCCAAATTTGCTTCAACGTTTGCATCCACGTCCTTGGTGTTTTGAAAATGGCTCGACCTTGCTTGCGGCACTGGCTCATCGGTGGGGGAAAAACAAAGCCATCTGGTTTCTCAGACCCTGCACTGCTCTCTGTTAAAAGAGACTTTGTTCTTTCCCATACGGCTTTCACCCAGAGACTCAGCTATGAGTTTGTGTAGTCAGGGGAATGCCGGGCATTCACTCAACCTGCTTTCTTAAGCCGGGTATGCATTTGCCATGATTTTACCATCTGAGACAAATTTCAAAAATTGTACGAGATTTGTTTCGTTACAAGGTAAAATTGACATCTTTGATTGTTTCGTGTAACATCAGCGGATGACCAATTAATAGCCTTTTTGCTAAATCTCCAGTGATGTCCTGACAGTGTCTGTGGGTTGCACACCTAGAATATGACCGCTCCTGTGATCACAATCTAATAAAGGCCCACTAGATGTGGTTACTTTTCGAGGATGTCAGAACATTGCTCAAGATTGACAAAACTGACTGGGCTTTTTACATCAAAGTCTTAAAGTTACCATGAAATCATAATTGACCATTCTTATTTCAATTTTTATGGCATATTGTAGTATTTATAATTTGTTTATCTATGCACATCATTTTTTAAATTCATGTGCCCATGCAATGTTTAATCAAAAACATTAACATCCTCTACCCCTCACGATGACATCTCTTCTCATCCAACATGAAGATGGAACAATAATTCCTAACCTGTCACTCACGTGATCAACCGAGCCAATCAATTTTCGATGGATAAAATCAAGTACAGCCCTACATCACCAGCATATACATCACAATAGAGTGGAAAACTTCCACAATTTCCATTTACTTCCAGATTCTGAAGGGATAGTTCACCTGCAAGCTCTGTCATCATTTACATTTACTGCATGTAGTTCCAAAACTATGTGACTGGCTTTTCTTCTGTTGAACATATTTTGATGAATGTCTCAGTGTTTTTTCTTTGTCCATACAATGATACAAAGTCAATGGTCACCAATACTGTTTGGTTACCAACATTCATCAAAATATCTTATATTGTGCTCTAAAAAAGAAAGAAGGTAGTATAGGTTTGACATAAGGGTAAGTAAATGATGACCGATGTTTTGGATGAACTATACCTTTAAGAAGTAAATGCATAGTGTCAGACTACACTATTGATATCACACAGTCTTTCTTGGCTTCTTCTCTCAAATATGACTGCTTCACCTTTGTGCTTTGCGAAATGTTTTATTTTGTGTTAAGATGGAATTTTTTTTTGTAAATCACATGGTGTTTTGGCTGAAGAAATTTCTCTTTGGGTCTTTGTAGAGAAGTTTCTTTTGTGTTTTTTGTTTCTGCAGACAATATTCTGGACGACAAACCCGAAGGCAAGTCATCCACTGAGAAACTTCAGTATGAGTCCAATGATGAGATGCCCAAGCGGTTTAAGAAAGCGGGAAGCAAAGGAAAGGTCTGTACAGAACTGTAATGATGAACATTTGAGTTCTTTTCTACCTGAATACATAGGCTACTTGATCTGTGATGTTTGTACTTCTGCGCCCTTGCAGATGTTTGACATGGAGCTAGGAGAGGAGTTCTACCTGCCCCAGAATGAGAAGGAGAGCAGACAGATCGCTCAAGAGCTCTCTGATCTGGTCATCTACTGTCAGGCTATCAAATTCCCAGGTTTACTCTCTTAAATCTTATTTAATTATTATACAAGCACAATGACAAAAGTTTGTAGTTCACTCTTCCTCTGGGACACACAATTAGTGATGTACTGAAATATTTGGCCGAAAATTAATTTTTGATTTTGGCTAAATAATTTCAATTTATTTAGTGCACACAATATGCTGTTTTCAGTTGATGCATGACTTTACCAAACTTCACTAAGCAGTATTTATAGCATGCTTCCCATCCAATAATCACAATAACCTACTCTGCATGAACATCAGAAGGTACAGCATGTTGAAAGAAACAACACAACTTGCTGAAATCCTGTCTCATTAATAACTGTAAAGATGTAAATATACATATTGCATTTATCTGGAAAGCCATTCAATGCCCATAGCAAGCTTTTATTACAGACATCAATTGCAGTAGAATCATAATTATATTCATTAAAAAAGTTAATATAAAAATGGCATCATGTTCAATTTAAATGTTTTTATACAAGTCAGCTTTTGAGTGTTGATTATTGAATATGATTGACTAATTAATGATTTAAAAAAATATATATATTCATTTTTGGAGAAAAATTAATTTCAGTCCATCACTACATGCACAATTTTTGTGTGGTTTTCTTAAAACATGATTTGTGCATGCAATTCACAACTGACTGACAAAGACCCAATGTGTTGTCTAGCAAAAGTACATTAGATGCAACCTCTTAATGGACGACTGCACTGTGTAAGAAATTATAGTCTGCCTCGACCAAACTTCCACTCTAAATAAACTATTCTCCTTTCTCTACAAAGAGCTTAATTATCATAGAGATAATTCTTTCCAATCTCAATAATATGTAAATAGTATCTCCTGAACGTTACTTCGTCACCTATAGCGTGGGAGCGGCAGTAGGCCATCAAGAACCATCTGCTGACCAAAAGGGTACTTGAATATAATTGCTAGGGATTCTAGATAATCCTATCACCTGAATATTTGGTTGTTTCCACCTGAAAGACTATCAAAGACGTGGGAACTATCACTTTCATTGTTATCCGCAATTTACATTTAAGACGAAACTTTTACATGCGGGAAGATGAAGTGGGAAGAATAGAGTATAAAATGTTTGAGCTTAGGATGGGCAGAGCTGTATTGGAATCGTTGTTTCTAAAGTAACTGAAGCAAAGTGCTTAAGTTTAAAGTTTCTAAAGTAACTGAAACTTGTTGTTGGTCTCTTATAATTCTGTTAAGATTCTAAAGTAATTGAATCAACCCGACGCAGTGTGGTGGCAGAGTTGTATTAGATCTGTTGTGTCTGAAGTTGTAAGTTTCTAATGTAGTTGAAACTGACTATGAAGATGTTATTATTCTGATTGAATTCTAAAGTAACTGAATTGATCTGACGTAGCGTGATCACAGAATTATTTCATGATATTTGTGTTATAGTATAGTGAGTCCGACGTACCGCGATTCTTAAGTTTAAAGCAGTAACCCGAAGCAGTGTGGTTTTTGCCCGACGTATTGTGGCACTGTTTTAATCTGATAAATATTATTTTGAGCCCGAGGAACTGTGGCTAAGTAAACTGTTTTAAAAATATAACATAAAACCCGAAGTAGTGTGGTTTTGTCCGACGTAGGCTACTGTGACAGTGTTACATTTTAACAGTTTAGTGTAGAATAGTTTAGAGACCCAACGTAGTGTGGCTATCTTGTTCATAGACTAACAGGTATCTTAAAGTAACTAGATAATGTTCAGTCAGTGAAGGAAAAGAAGCCTATTGAATTGCTGAACACAATTCAATAAGATTGTGAAAATGGAAGAGTTGATAGTTACACTTTCATTGTTATCCGCAATTTACATTTAAGACGAAACTTCGTTTACATGCGTGAAGATGAAGTGGGAAGAATAGAGTATAAAATGTTTGAGCTTAGGATGTTCGTGGTTCATTCTGACTCCGTTGAACCCAAGGTACTACATGTACTTTGTCACTGATATGCTGCAATAAACATCTTCATCGAGATCTTCATCGTCCTCATCATTTTTCTTACAACTGTGTTGAGAAAGCTACTTTACAAAGGTAGCCTCACAGGCTACAAGTATCAACACATTTCAACTACAGTTTAAATTTATAATAAGCAACACTTCATCTATTGCATGTTTGTGCTACAAGGCTAATGTAAACTGCTGTAGAATTAGCTGAATTTGATAAAAAAGAGTGGGCAAATTAGATTCAGGTGTTTGGCTCCACTGGAAACTGTAATAGTCCCAGAGGCGATCCTTGAACAAACATACAGTATCAAGCTCTTGAGTTCTGGAGGAGCATATACCCTGCAGCCGTGACCTGACATATGTGTTTGTTTGTGTTTGTGTGCGTGGGAACTAGGCCTCTCCACCCTCTCCCCATCAGGCTCTGGAAGGGGAAAAGACAGAAAAAGCCGGAAATCCATTTTTGGCAGCGCTCCTGCTCGCGGAAGCCCCGGGGAGCCTGTGACGTTGGTCCGAGCTCCAGGGAAAGGTACAGCCGCCTCGGTTTTGCACGGAACTATGCACAGGGCACACAGGAAATAGAACACCCACTTAGAGCACCCATGGGAAAAGGGCTCTCAAGTTTTCCATTATACTGAAGTCCCTCGAAAGCATATAAAAATGCCTTTCTGCGGAATATTTCCAGTGACTGACTGTATGAGAAAACAAGCATGTGCTTTTTGAAGAGAAGCACTTTTAGAGGGCAGGTGCTTCTTTGAATTGAATCTTAAATGGATAAATTCCTGCCATCTTAACAGAAGTGCATCTATTTATCAGAATTTACTCATCCTTATGATGTTCCAAATCTGTATGACTGACTTTTTTCTGTACAACTCGAAAGAAGAAAGTTTGAAAAATGCACTAGTTCTTCTTTTCCATGCATTTGCAATCAATGGAAAATGATAAGCTTGAATCCTATTGGTTATGTTTATGCTTATGTTGCAGCTTGAAAGCCTCAGTCCCAAGCGGTGTCAAAGGACCCTTTTTTCTTTGGCACAAAATGCCGCTGTGTGGTAACATCTTACAGATAAATCCTTACCTGACAGTAAAGAATACCATATACCAATCTGAGAACCATTTTTCATGATAGTTTTTCACCAATCATCTCTGTTGTGTTTTCCAGTAGCTGTTTAGAAACAGAACTAGTGATGCCAGATTAATGAATGAATCACTGTTTTGGTCAAATCAGTCAGGCGGGTTGGACGATTTACTCACATGCTTCAAAAAAAAAATTAAAATGAGAAGAATTGGATGAGGTGGATATTTGCCTACAGTTGCTGTAAGAAACAAAACTTGCTAATGCCTTCTATGGTTAGTGATGAAGCAGCTCTTTATTGGACATATAGCGTATGAATGTCTTGTACTGCAAGGCCAATTTATAAAAATATATCCTAACAGTATCCAAAAAATATCAAAATACAGGGGCTCCCAGAACTGTGCAAATTGGTGAAAAAAAAATCTAATTTTGATTTTTCTGATAAAAATGTAATTGAAAAAAAAAAATCTAGCTTTGGTGTGAGTGTTTTTAGGGCTGCCAAAACTGTGTGATTTTTACATCAATATGGCTATAAAATAATGCTAATAATAATTATTGTTACTTAAAAAAAAAAA